ACATAATGGACTTTCTTAGATACGTCAATCTAGCAGCAATCTGGAAGGGGAAGAGGTGAGAGGCTCGGCTCATGTCCCGTCTGTCTCTGTTGATAACCACAGGGCAGGAGATAAAAGGCGGAGAGGAGAGGTGTAAAAAAGTGATGTGGGGAGATAAGAGTTGAGAGGATACATGAAAGAAGAGGACTAGAGGATGAGAGGAGCAAACAGCAAAGGAAGGGAGCAAGAGGAAGGTTTAGTGGATGAGCAAACAGGAGAGAGGGAAGATATAAGAGCAGAGGAGAGGGGAAAAAGAGAGGACAAAAATAAAGAGAGGACGAGAAAGGAGATGTGAGGATAACAGATAAAAGAGCAGACAGCCTGCCACCCCACAGTCACGTCACACAATTTACCATGTTCTGGCCCATAATGTTTTATAGCACAATCACTGATAGCACAGTAGTCAGTAGTGATCTCATTTCACAACCCATATCCTTCGGTAATGTGAACACAAAGAGAGAAGCAAAGCCATTAGCAGTGTCCAGTTCTCCTCTACAGCTACTCATGCATAATTGGCTTCCATGGTAGGAAGCAAGAAAGGGTAAACAGCAAGCAATCATATTAACTCCTGTGAGTCCTAATTGAAATCCGTTAACAATCAAGGCAGATGATAGAGGCTGAGGAGACGTGGGGCCGTTCATACCCCGAGCCCTCTTTCTCTCACGCTGCTCTCGGTGTATTGACACGCTTCAAGACGTGGGTCTGCATTACAATCAAAAGTTATGCTTCCTCAGCTCATGGGCAGCGTAAAAACAGCAGTTTGGCATCCGCGCATGTGAGCGTTTTACCTCACTCTGAGATTTGTTCAAATTAAAATCAGTTCCGACAACGTTACACATTGGTCATTTGGGGGATTTTCAATGGGGGAAATATACAGGACTGCTAATGTAATCATGAATACAATAAATAAGATAATGAAGGAATAAAAATGTTTAATTACATTTTCCAAAATATTTCCTTTCACTTTGTTGCCGATGTTCGATGACATCATCGATAACACTCCCTTGTCTGTCTGTTAAATATAAAGCTACGGCCAGCAGCCTGTTAGCTCAGCTCAGTATAAAGACTTGAAACAGCGAACAGCTAGCCCTTCATAAATGTGAATGTCAAAAACACGTTTCTACCTCACTATTACGTTATATCATATATACAATATAAACCAAAGTGTAAAAATGTGCTTCCAGACAAGAAATCAAGCTATACTCAGGGAATCCCAGGAAGCAGGACGAGTGAGAAAGAAAAGGGGTTTGCGGCTTGTAAATAAAGTTATTGAACAAACAACAGAAATGTATGATGGCGATTGGACAGGTATGCTAGCTAAGGCTACAATGCAAGATGAATCAAGGAAGTGTGGAGTGTTATGGTAAGAATTCGAAACCAATAAGCCCTTTACTTTATCAAAAACGTATGTTGTGATGCCACCTAAGCATGATATAGTTTGTTGTCCATTGTAGTCCCTAATTAGTATCAGCATAGACTAGTTTGCTGCTGGCGGTAAGCCACAGCAGTTCAATGATAAAGTAGTGTAGGGGGGCGGGGGGCTTTGAATTTTTAATTGTTATGATGTATGAAAAATACACCGCAAATGAGATGGTTGTAGAGTATAGTGCAGAGGAGCATACTTGCAATGTAAAGCTCTAGTCCAATACCTAGTCAGAAGCATATATGAAACTCGGGATGATAATAGGTCCCACTCCGGCCTTGAGCACCAGTAATGGTGAAAGTGGAAATGATGGAGTGCACCGGATGCATCACTGTTCCAGTTGAGTCCTACACCACTAGATGGTGTGCTTGTCTCTTCACACTTACAGAGCACTACATCCACCAGATGGGTTGTGTGGAGCAAAGCTCTAGCTAGAGACTCATATTGTCATCTAGCATTATCTAACACATAAAACCGCTTTCACACCAGGTGTTTGGGGTTTTGAGCGAGGCTTTCTTCAATAATGCAGTGCAACCACTATGAATACACAGCATATGGCGCAGTAGAGCCGCTTCATGTGACAAGCAAACAATCGTGCACTGTCTGAAACTGCTTTTCAACAGAGAGCTCATCCAGACTGCAAATTCAACTGCAGAGAGAAATGAAATAAAAGTCAATCCTCCGAATCTTTATACAGTCACTGACTCATTCTTATTTGAGTCTGGCTGTCAGCCGTGCTAACAAAAAGCAGTTCAAAAGCAGGAAAAACACTTAACAAAAGGGTGTGTATGTTCAGGTTCAAGGGTTCAGAAGTGGCAGACAGACGCTATGGAAACACTTCAGCTACAGTTGCTTTTAATGTTGGATATTATAGTGGGTGCACCATGCATCACTTTGCAAAAATACTTTGCAATAATGAAAAGATTAGATGTTTAATTTATTTCTCTTCAAAATCACATTACAGTATTTTATTAAAAGACACAGCTAGATGGTATTCAACTAATTGAAATGTTATTATTATTATTTCAAGACTTGGTCTTTAGGAGCCAAGCATATTTAAAGTATAAAAACTAAAGACTTAAATATGCATACCCTTCATTTCAGTGCTTCGTACAAAAAACATTCTGCATACATCTGAGCACATAACGCGGTATATTATTGTCTTGTAGGAAGCTTAACCATTTTCTCAAGGGCGAGACTCTCGTCTTGCAGATATTTCTTTGCTGTGGTGCGTTCCAGATTTTTTTTCTTCTCCTCTGCAGCAGATGGTGAAGAGAAAATCACTTTCTGCTGGGGGCCGGATGCATCAGGGTCAGGGCTTAAGCTTTGAGGTCCACTGTGAACCTGGACGATTTGACAAGACTCTTTTGCATACGCTGAGTCTAATCAAATATATGCGAAAGAAGGGGGCGGGATTTGCAAAACAGCTTGATACAAGGATCCTGATTAGATTAGGGATTTTACAAAGCAGCGGGCTGGAGCCACACAGTCCAGTCTGTACTCAGGAGCATGCAGAACAAAACGAGACTCACAGAGAGATGTTTAGTCCCCACAGTGAGAAAATCGGGAATAGATAAAGAAGGCGTTAATATTGACATTCTCAGAGGACCTCATTTTGTTAAAGCTACACACACTAATACTGTATGACAAGAGGTAATCAGCAGTCATAGGCCAAATAATTGTCTTGCGATTAAAATGAATTGAAATCTGCACAGAAAAACGACTATCTCTGTCTTGTTTACCTGTTCAATCAAACTTTGATTAAATTGACCTCCGAGGACACTGATAAATGATTGGACTGGAAAACGACGGAGCCTTTACAGAAATAAAGTCAATACCGAAAATAATGAGGCACTGAAATGTTCCAGTATGCCATTGTTATGTCAACAGCAGAGAAACAAGGGCTGCCTGAGAAAAATGATATGCTCCCCGCGCAATTATACTGTAGCTAAAAACAAATACTGGAATCATGCTGGCACAATGATGCACCTTATTCAAATGCTTTTATTCTTCTGAGCACACAGAAACATGAATCATCACCAGCTTATGCAGAAGGAACGACTGGTTTATAGGTTAGTGTGATGCATTTACAATTAGGGACTGCATATGTGAGCATACTGTACAAACAGGAATGTAACATAATACCTTAAAGCAATGAAACCTGCACGTTTAAAAACTCAGACCAAGGTTGACTTTACAGTAAAACAAATTCCCAGGAAAAGAGACAAATTACTTCGAGGCTATTTGAGCCATGATATAAGCCCACATAAACATAACACCTACAAGAAGGGCCTGCTAAGAATCCTTTTCTAACATATCTCTGATGTACATGTGTGGGTGTATATATTTCTTACATGTAGCAGCCAAGCTGATGACTAGCCTTGGGATAAGATTGTATGTAATGCCACAATGCCAAATCTGGTGGTGGTTTTTTCATATCGACACAAAAACATTCATGTGGTTTCTGATCCTTAATTATATTCATAAACACGTGGAGGGATATTTCAAAGTGATCTCAGACTGAAGCCTTTGCACCTTCCTGCATACATCTTCCTGTGGACTGCACATCTGTTCGCTTTTGAGAAGTGAACCCCATCCAGCACGCCTGAATCCATGGGGAATCGGCTATGTGCTTCTGCACAGTAAGTGAGTGAATGAGTGGGAGTCAGTCAAAGCCCCAAGCACTTATAGGGAGGGGGGGTGGAGTTTTGGGGGCAGCAGTGAGGGGGTGGCAGCTGAGAGGCAAAGCTAATTTACTGTGACAGAAATCAGAGCTGTCAGGGCCACCATGACCAAGCAGCATGGACAGCATATATCCAGTCAAACCCACAGCCAAGGGGAAGCAGGGATGTCGGGAGCTCAGAAAATAAAGGGGGGGTGTACTGATTAAGGCTCGTAGAGATAAAGAAAGAGAGTGTTTGTGTGTGTATATGTGGGTGTGTGTGGGTGTGTTCTAGGCATCGGGGTAGGCAACATCCATCCACTCAGAAACCCCTGAAATAGAATCGACATGGTATGGAGGCACACAGGTAGAAGAGAGAGACTTTGATGGACAGGATTTGCCGAATTAAAGAACTCACAATAACAGGTGTATTTGCAATGATAAGTAAACTGACATCCAGGCAGGACTGCACACACACAAAAAAGTATAACATTTTGAGGGCATAGCTAAATTCCAGTCCTCTGGGATTATTGGTGGAAGGTTACCGGATGACGCATGTACGATTCATGAGGAAAGCTCCTAGGTTCTACTAATCTGTAATCAAGTGAAACCCTAAAAAGTAGTAATGTTAAACTGAGATAAACTGATTTTGGCAATAGAGGTACAAATAATAAATAGAGAGAAGGAAGGGCAGCCATCAGCATCATTACTTAATGATGACGGGGGGAGACACAAGGCTGGTTTTAAAATGACACAGAGAAGGAGGAGGGGATTGTGGGAGATTAAGTGAGCTCTGTGCTGTTTGTTATACACTGAAAACCACTGCAGGATGTTAGTTGAGCGGCACTCTCATTTGGGACGAAGACAAACCCAGTAGGGAGACCTTAAACTTGGCTGGAGAGAAAGGCGAAAGCATTTTACTCGAGCGTCTGGGGAGGAGGATCTTAGTAGAAGATAAGGATTAGACAGCAATGTTATGGGTGTTCATGATGGGATAACTTCCAAGAAGCGCAGAAAGTTGGAGCCTCATGTTGTCGCTAAGTAGTCTACTTTGGATGTGTGGTTTGAAGTGTTTTTCTTCTTTTTCTTGGGGGGGAGAATGGGATTAAGTGAGTGCGCCAAATAGCTCACTCGTCTGAAAGTGGTATGAACTTTTCCCCTTTCTGCCTTCAAATTCATACAGACGTGCAAGTCAGTGGCGGAAAGTCTGTTTGAATTGTCTCTCAGAGCCTTCAACTTCACCTGATAATAACCGAGAAGAAACATACTTCTAAAAAGGTGAGGTTTTTCTATCTGTGCTCATATTACTTTGAAAAGTTTCCTACTTGACAATTATTTAAAGTGTTGAGTCATGCAACAGGGTGTCAATTTGCAACTATTTTGATGATGAAATTATTTTTTTTATATATTTTAAAGTAATAGAAAGGCCACGATTCTCGTGTGCTTCTCACTCAATCTTCTGACATTTTGTAGACTGATAAAAATGTGCCTTTTGTTGCAACCCTTCAATGACTACTGCACCAAAATAGTGTATTCATTCTGTTTATGTTCTTTTTCCCAATTATATATTATATAGGGCAATTATTTCTGCAGAGGCAAAATAAAAACAACAACATAGGGCAAGACACGCAAAATCAAAAAGCATATAAATGCAACATTATAAAGTGAACACAGTTACAAAACGCAAGTACAAAAGCAACTATACTTATTTCAAAGAAAGAAAGATATGTGCTGATGCTACCCATACTTTAAAGAGTTGAGAGTTTACAGATCTGTATGTTTTGTCAGAGGTGGGAACCAAAGAGCAGAAACTTCCATTGTAAGTGAAGGGGTTGGTACCTTCACCTTTAAAAGATTATCCTGACTGTACAGTCTTTTTTGTTTCTGATTTGATTCTTATCTGACCAGGGAGAGCCGGAGGGATTAGAAACCTAGAAGGATCAGGCTTCCACAAAGATGACCTTCAGACTGTATCCTCTGCTGGTGCTGCTCTGTCTGCTTCACGGCTCTGAGGGAGTCTGTCCTCACATGTGCATCTGTGTATCCGACACAGCGGGCTGCAGCTCCTGTGGTCTGACCAAGCTTCCTCAGTCCCTGCCGACCTACTCTGTCATCCTCGACCTCAGCCACAACTATCTGTCCTGGCTGGGTGTGGGCAGTTTCAAAAAGATGCCCAAATTGGAAAAACTCCTATTGACCCACAACGAGCTTGTCTCTCTGGACGAAGGCGTGTTTACAAATGCCTCCAGCCTCAGGTACCTTGACCTGTCCTCCAACAAGCTGCGTGTGGTGGAGCAACACTACTTCCAGGGGCTGTGGAAGCTGGAGGAGCTCCTTCTCTTCAATAATAAGATCACACAGTTGGAGGCTGGGATGTTGAATGGCCTCAGCAGTTTAAAAAAGGCCTACTTCAGCCTGAACCAGATCACATACTTCCCTTTCTTCTCCATCACAGACCATAGTCACCCTTTCATGTCCATGCTGGATCTCTCGTCCAACCGTTTGAGTCGTCTGCCATGGGTGGATGTGAAAGCTTTGCCCATGCTGGTGCAGCGGGGGCTGTACCTCCACAACAACTCTCTGATCTGTGACTGCTCCATGTACAGCGTTTTCTGGCATTGGGATCTGAGGGGTTACGAAACACTGAGGGACTTTACGGAGGAGCACACTTGCACCATCTATGGGAACACGCGATCGTTCGTGCGGTTCCTGCGACAACCCCGCTTCTTCCGTAACTGCACAGTGGAAAAACCCATGTCACTCCCGATGACTGTGTTCCTGTCTAAGCTGACGGTGACAGAGGGAGAAATGGTGCGTCTAGACTGCGAAACATCCCTGAGTAGCAGAGACCTCTCATTTGCATGGCTCACCCCCAGCAAGGGGTACATAACCCAGACGAGCATAAATGACACTCTAATGAGCTTGTTTCCCAACGGTACCTTGGATATTCAAGTAACCAAGGTCAATGACTCGGGTTTGTACGTGTGCACAGCTCAGGATATGAAACGCGCACTAAATGCGACGCGGGAGGTGAATGTGACGGTGGTGTTGCCACAAACCGAAACATTCAACACAGGCTACACAACCTTGATAGCCTGTATGTTGTCCATGTTGTTCATCTTTGTGTACCTCTACCTGACTCCGTGTCGCTGCAGCTGCTGCACACAGCCGGGACCTCGCTCTGTTTTCTCCAGCTCCAGAAGAAGCCATCGCAGGTCCCAAAGCAGCAAGCGTGTAGCATTCATGGAGCCAATGTTAACTGAAGAAAAAACTGAATGGCCACCTAAAAGTTAATGGCGACCACGGTGTTAGTTTTCCTTTGTGGAAACAAAAGACCCTCTGGACAAAGGAAAATTGAGTCTCAGGAATTAGCGCTGAGGTGCAATAGAAATGTGTCAAGGCTGTGAAAGGAAAAAATCACATATTTTTGCTGATCGCAGGCTCCAGTTAAAAGGCCTCCTGAACAAAAGAGCAACATTTACCGTTCCGTTTCTCCTTTTCTCTGTCATTAAGTCCAGAAGTCCAGAGAAAGTTTCAACTTAGGTTTATTACCCGCAGTGTAATGACATTTCTAAATCACTGTGGAGCCGTTGTCAGACCTAAAAATCAGCTAATAACTTCTCTGTGTACTGGGGTTCGGCACTAGGGAGAAATATTTCTTGTGGGATCGGAGAGTGAATCTGGCTCACTTTTCACAGAAAGTATTTAACGAGGATTAAATGCTACTGAAAAACGCTGCAAGTTCATGACTGTGACGGACTGCAGGAAGGAAGTGCAGCCTGTGTATCTGGGTTGAGTTGAAGGGCTCCATAATTAGTGTGGCAGAGATAGGCACTTGCTGAAGATAAATGTAATATACAGCAATACTTCTAAACCCGAAACTCTTTCCAACTCATGAAAACTTCTGTTGCCTGACTTCCTAATAAAAGATGTGTTCCCTTCAGATCAGTTACCTGCCCTGGTGATATAGCTTTGTATAAGCAATTTCAGAAAAAGAAAAAGGAATTAAGATACAGCTAGGAATAAACATTTCTGTGCTGAAGCCATAGCATTCAATAAACATTTGAACATCTTATCTAGCAGAAAACAGAGGTGCATCCTGCAGTGATCCATCATACATTTCCCATATGCACCTGTTGCATTCATCTGCCAGCCAAAAACAATGACTCTCTATCAGCGCTCTGCTTATCTGGCAAATAAGTACAGGAATCAGGAGTGTCAACAAACCAAAAACAAACAGCAATTGGAATGCTTTCAAAGACAGCATCTCTTTGATCAAACACAGCAGAGCACTATGAACTATGCGGAACAAACGAAAGCACAAAATTTGAACTGAAGTGACAAATAGCCTACTTCAAGCAGGTCTGACGCAAAACCCTGAAGGGGGCATTACTTTGAAAAGCTTTGTATTTTTATTTAAATTCAATGTAACATGCTTCAAATGACAGAATTACACACTGCAATGCCAACAATGAAAGATGTTGAAGAAGGCCTTGCATGCACTGCTGTGAAAGAACATAAGTGTGTGAGACGAGAACATTAATTTGATGACATGAAAGCCCAAAGAGAGTTTACGGGTGGTCGAGGATGTAGGGATTTAAAAAATCCAATGAGAAAAAAAAAGAAGAAAAAAGAAACAAATCAATTTCTTTAAACCCACGCAAACACAATGTTTTGAGATTGTAGTTTAATCATAATGCAAACACCGGGTGGGATTAAGGATTGCACCAAGATTGAATAGGATTAGATGTAATCCTTCATATAATGTCAAAGAACAGTTGTCAGTAACCACCCATCTCACAAAAGGAGAGTATGTCGTTAGAGTAGGAGCCTTTGATTATTTCTAAATCCTTAATTAAAACTTGACTTCTTTCAAGCCTGAGGGGACAAATACTGTTGTGCAACTTGAATGTAAATTCTGAGAAAAAAAGAGGGAAATCTAAAATCAAATGGCGAGCCATGCATGCAAGTGGGACAGACGAGTTCTTTCACAGTGCAAGTTTCATCACAATTAAACTCTCAGGGATTAAGCCGAAATCCGTTAGAGTGTATTGTGATGCATCACTCTGTTTAATCACACAGCTACTGACTTAGTATATTTAACAAAGTTGTTTCGCCGTGGTAAGCAACATTCAAACTGCTGAACAAAGGTTACGCAACATGCCGATTATGTGCTTGTGATATAACATCTTGTATCAGTGGTATGACATTGTGTGATGACTTGGGGTTAGGTTTGAGGAGATTACCACGAGGATAAAAACCCGGTGCTTTGTCAATTTCAGTGTATTTAAATCCCTCTAATCTGGTTCCTCTCTCTGACACAGAACACACAGCTGGGTCAGGATTTAATGTTTTTGATATGATTAGCAGACGGGTTAAAACATAGAGGACAGGATTTGAGCATTTTCTATTCAAGGGCTTTTTAGGTCCACATGTGACCCTGGTTATGTAACCATGCCGCTGATTTCGGGAATCAACCTCAGTGTGTAGGCAGAGTAGAATAAGTGAAGTTACTATCCGGATGCCATTTGCTATCCAGTGTTTTATTTCAACCTTCTCACGGCGAGCACTTCAGTGATATTGAGAGGCCTAAACACTGCATTAACTACATCAATTATATATTTTTTGCTCATTCAGATTGATACACATACTTCTAAATAGAAATATCATGTGTTATCTAATATTTACACATTATTGTATAGTACTTAAAGCTGCACATTTATGTGTAGCTTTGAAGTGCTGATAGCATTTTAAAGTGTTTTCTGTATAACTCTATCTGCAAATTATCCTGAAGCGATCTTACAAATTACCCAGATGTAAAGGGAGTACTCGTTGATGCTTTAAAAGATGCCCCTCTCCAAAGCAAAACACTCCATCGGGCTTCAATTAAAGCATGCACTCGTCTTTCCAGATTAATTGTTTTCCCCTAGTTCAGCTGGGCTCCAAGGGATTTGAAATCATCGTATTCAAGAATCTAATTACTGTGAAAGGGGTATTTTACTGTGAATAGCACAAGCTGAATTGCTTCCAATAGTGAAGGGCTGCCTTGACTGTCAACAGGGGCTATTACTAAACTGTCAAAACAGTCATCAGCCAGGAGTGGAGGCATCCAGCTGTGGCAGATACTTATACATCTTTTAAGACGTGTGACACCCACATACACAGCCTCGTGCAGGCCTGATGCCACCAAACCCAGTAATAACCTCATTTCATTCTAATTGGACACTTGGAATATGTGCTCAAAAACATAGACAGTGCTTGTTTCTAAAAAGTCCACAACCAGCTATACTTTATGTCTCTTTTTAATTTTTTTTTTTTAAGAGGCAAGCAGGTTGCTTCCAAAAAAAACGTTCATAAATGTGGACTGCTGCACACCAGACAACAGGCTCTGTATCTTACCTCTGCACTGAATATGAATGCAGGCCACTTTCTGTGTTTTCAAAGGAGGATGAACCAGCCAGATGTCCACGTCTACAACTGGTCTCAGTCTTTTTCACTGTGGGGCACATGGAACATGAATGCCTCATTAATCAAATGCATATATCTTTCACATTTCATTGCAACAGCAGAATACATGCAGTGATACATTGCTTTTGCCTTTTATCTGTATTGTTCCTCTGAGACTGTTTTTGGCTGCAGTGAGTAGAATTTGGCTGGATATAATAGGATTTGACACGCAAAATGCTTCAAAGTATACACGTTTACATTGTTACACTTGGCCACTTTTCTCAGACATCCTCTTGTCTTGTTATGCTATGCTTACTCTGTGTTCAGCTTGTGTCATTTCTCCTACCAGCTGTAATGTAACATGTGGTGATGGCACTTCCTTTGTTATGTTCTGTCACTTTCAGCCACTTAAAGAAAACGTGAACTGTGATAAAATATATGTATGTTCGTAATACGATTAAAAAAGACTTGTGCCGTCAGTGATGGTAAAGGAGATGTGCTACTGTGTCAGTGATATTCAATAATAGGCGCCGTTTAAACCAATATTAATGTATTGTCATCCAAGCGGCATGGCTGCAGGGAGGCAATGTTGGTTGCTCAAACACTGGTCCAGACTGAAATATTTCAAAGACTAGGGGATGAATTTTAAAAAGACATTAATGGTCCCTGTTCCCAAAGAATGACACCTGCTTACTTTGTTGATCATTGAGCACAGCCAGGAAGTTTACATGAAGGCAGTCAATTTCTCAACAACCAGTGAACGTTTTTTTTATGAAGTTCGGTAGAAACATTCATGAATTGTTAATTGTTGTTGGGGATTCCTTAACTTTTTCTCTACAGCCACTACCAGGTCAAACTTACAATATGTGTTAATGAAATATGACCAAATACGTGCTAAACCTATAACATTTCCATCAGGCTTGATTGAACTGAGCTAATAGCAAATATTACCATATTACCTAAGATACAAACATTACATATGCTTAAAATCCACATTAGCATGCATATTTCCTATATCATTGTATAAATAATCCTAGCATTTGGCTCAAAGCAGCGTGTCAAAAAATGCCCTCACAGAGATGCTAGAAGGTTGTTACTGACGTAGCCTCACAAAGCATTACTGGATTAGGTTCTTCTTCGGTGCAAAGACAGCCTCTGGGATTGTTTTGTGTGCCTACCTACAACATCCAGTGTGGCCTTTTTAGCAGCTATATGCCATATTTCTATATTATCTCTCCCTGGCTCCATTTCCGAGGCAATGTTGCATCACAGGCTGCACACTAAAAAAACCTGTGGAAACTGAATGATTTGCACGGAGGTGGTGTAGAGGCACATAACGAGAAGTGATAATTGGTTACACCATTACAAGAGCAGAGCTACATTTCATTCTAGCCTAAAGCCCTAATTCCTGCAATGGCACCAAGAAACTCCTCAGCTTACTGATCCCATTAGAACAACTATGCAACTACTTGACCTATTTAATATTTTAGTTCTTGATCCATTGATATTTGATTCAATTTAAAAGTGGAATCAAATAACAGGGCTATGTGTTTGTGAAAGAGGTTGCTTGGTCAGTGCTGGATTAATAGATCCATCCTTTATTCCAGTAAGAGTACCAACCTAACAATAACAAAATACCCCAATACAAGTAAGACATTCCCTTATGTGTGTATTTGTTTGAGCTTAGTTCTTGTGAAATACTTGGTATAGTTATACCTAATGTAACCATGTTAGAAGGGATAATGACTGTGGTGATAAAAAATGTATCAGACATCTGACACATCTGAGACACTACAAGAATGTAAGAGGTTTGCAAACCAAGGAAAGCCAATGTACATTATTTAATAACTTCATGAATTTATTTAATGTAAAATTCGTATAATATGCAATGTAAGAAGTTACCACAGCTGTACAAATACATTGAGTGAAAATATAATATACCTCTCGTACAACAAGAAAGCTAAAGAGAAATATTCAAGTGCCTAAACCTACATTGAAAAAAAACTGTACAAAGATGTAAGCAATCTTACATCTGTACAAATACATTGAGTGAAACTAAACAACAGGTAAACAAGACTTCCTCTTTGAAGTCTTTCACCTGTTGTTTAGTTTTATTGGCAACTTTGATAGTTTTAAGTCATTAGAAACCAGCCCAGGCAGCTGTCTTTAGTGATAAAGTGCGGATAATTCTGCGGTATTATACCTGCCTAGCAAGCAGGGATGGCCAAGAGGCAAAGTTAGCGACCAATACATTTTTGGAGTACAAGGGGGTGTAATTTCCTGCTAAGAGCCAGATTTTTCCCTCTGGGATTTGGTGGAGAACAACACTGATCTGAAATTATTAGTATAAATGTTGGACTTACATTCATCAAGTGGACAGAATCCATATTCCAGAATGACTGTTACTGGGTCTGCAAACAGCATGGTAAACAGGCAGCTCGTTGCTAACATGTTAGCATTATAGACTTTACAGGTGTGTGTGTGTGTGTGTGTGTGTGTGTGTGTGTGTGTGTGTCAAAGGTCAGTTTACGGCCCGTTTCGGCTCCCGCTGGTACTGGTAGTAGTCTATTTAATTTCAAGGGGCAGTTTTATAAATATGATATAATTATAATCCCTGGTTATGATTCCTTGAAATGATACTCAACTAAATGACCCCCCCCCCCCCACACAAATAATTCGGAATATTTCTTCATTGTATTCATTTAAGGCTTTACTTTTCTTAACCTCTGTTTTTTACTTTCATTAAAAAGTTTTTTGTTTTCATTATATATTTTTCCCATCACATCAGTCAGTGTAGTAGAGTAATTAAATCAACGATCAGTATGCTTTTTTCCTCCACCATTAACACCTCGGAAAATGAACACAACCATAGTCAGCCACAGTGGATTAACACTGTAATTGTTGGAAGTATTGCAGGTGTTACATGTAGCTCTTTGAATGTGAATGAAAACCCATCAGTGTTTGTGTGTTGGGTCTTAGCTACAATTGATTAAATGGGGGTTGGGGGATGTTCTCAGTTTCCCGAGTTACCATGGCATCTATTTCACAACCAGAATGAGACTCTGGAGATAAACCGTTAACCTATTTTCCACATTAAGAGTAAATGGCGCCCTCTGGTGATTCATTCCACCAGATGCACCACTGTGTTAACAATGCAATGTACGCACACATAATAGAGGACCCTCCTAATGATCCTTTCAGTGGTGGGAGAGTTAAGGGACGAATTGCACTCAGCATGAGGTCTCAAAAGGCTTTTAAGTGTTGCATTTCCTCGAAACGGTTCTGCACACACTGCTTACTCAGCTGGAGAAATTAGCTTCAAGTGAAATAGTTGTTGCTGCAGTGAACTGTGCCTTCTGTCATGGTCAGTAAATGAGTTTTTAATAGAGTTGAAAGGTTTTTGACTACAATCGTTTTATGAGCACTAACATCCTTCCTCCTGGGAATCAGACCTGTTTCTTATTAGAATATGTTGATGAAATCTTATTACCTCAGACTTGTCTTCCATATTACCTACTTAATTTTAGTTTAGGGCTTTCATGTTAAATTATCCAGCCTCATGCTGAGCACATAAATCGTAGGTAGCTGAATACAGTATGGAGTAGGGCTGCTCGATTATGGCAAAAATCATAATCTCGATTATTTGGGTCAATAATTGATATCACGATTATTAAAAACGATTATCCATTTACTTTGAAAACATCAATTTATTGGAGAAAAAAAATGTTGAACAATATGTTTTTAACAGTTGATTACCCTGAACTTTAAGTATAATTCAACTGAAACCAATAAGAAAAAAAGAATAATGAAAGAATAATCGTTTTATTTCGATTACGTTGTTTTCGTAATCGTTGCAAGCCATAATCGTAATTGCGAATTAAAATACGATTAATTGAGCAGCCCTAGTATGAAAGGACAGTAAGACAGTTCTAATTGATATTTTTAATAGTTTGCTTGACACTGTCATCAAACTGGTCACACAAACAACTTGATTGGTTTATTTCAATAGAATTTTGGACAACCAAATATGAAAAATAAAAATAAAAAAAGGAAACGAACAGCAAAGAGAAATTTCATTCACTATTTTTTTCTTTCCTTAAAAAAATATCAGCCTTCCCCCTTACCGTTTCAAAACCTGGAATTACAGAATGAAACAGAAATTACAAGTTAAATTCCAAGAAGCTGGAAGGCCATTAACATTTGCTGGCAAATATAAATATAGTGGTTTGAACAGGGTCTCAAATAGCTCACATGGAAAGAGTGTACATACAGTTTACACAACAGTAGGACACTCGGCACTGCCTGTATCAATTTTTATTAATGTAGAAAAACCAGGATCCTTATTTACTGATTCAAATAAATGTGTTTATGACAAGAAAATATTTACATTCAGCCAGCACTTATAGTCTCTGGAGGTTGGCTGTTGTGTTGCCCCTTCAAACATCATTGTCTATTCAGGAGCATAGTTGTGAGTGTATGTGTAGTCCGAGTAGTAGTCCTGTGCCCTCCCCCTGCCTGCTGGGTAACCCCATGAGCAGGGTCCACCTCCAGACCCGTTCCCCCGATCATGTCCTCGTCCAGGCCGTGGCCAAAGCCCTACTGGTGGAAGTCCTCTGCCCCGATAGCCCCCTAAAGAACCAGGACCCATTCCCCCCCGCATGGGCCCGTGGTCCATCTGTCCAGGGATGCAACCATAACCCACAGCGCTTATTAGATGTGGAGGCAGCTTAGGTCTGACCATCGAGCCCCCCCTGCTGGCCATTGTGGGTAAGCCCACAGAGGCTCCAAGGTTGTTGGTGCAATTCACCTGAGTCCTGCCCCCCTGACTACCAGGGGTGTTTCCTCCGAGGGTTTCCCCAGTGTTAGAGAGCCCGCTTGGGTCCAGTTGGCCAGCAGTGACCCCACCCTGGCTGCTGGCAGTCTGAAAAGTGCTGATACCTGCTGTCCCCCATAGACACTCCCCATGTCCAATGTGTGTCCTGTCTTGTTGCGTAGGGGTCCCACCAGCATGTGATGGAATGCCGGTCATGTAACCCGGCTGGGCTGAGTCATTGTGGTCTGTGTAGGGCTGCGAGGTGGTGAGCGGAGAGTTCCCACAAGGCCCAGCTCCTCCGGTGTCCGAGCCATACGTGTGTCCCAGCATCATGAGGTGAGGTGGAGGAGGGGGTTTGACCTCCATGGGGAGGGAAGCCAGGTTGGCTAGAGGTCCTGCTGAGGCAGAGGCTGGAGCTGGGACGGGCCGGTACTCCTGCTCCTGGGTGCTGCTGCAGGGCGAGGCAGGGTAGGCGGGGGAGGCTGCATAGCTGGAGGAGCCAGTGTAGGAGGACCACGAGGCTGAAGGACACAGGAAGCTCTGGTGAGGATTCACAGGAAAACTGCCCGGGGATAAGCTGCCAATGTCTGAAGAGCCTATTCCCATCTGGTTGGTGGCTTTGAACTGAGAGATGGCTGTCTTGAGAGCACTGTAGTCAGACAGCGTTGGAGTTCTATCAGGAGTCGCCTGCTGGTCTGGAAGCGGAGGACGAAACTCCTCCATCTCCGGTGGGGGCGGCTGCGGAGCGCTCTGAACTGCCTTGTTCTGCTCTGAGGGATCCAATATGGTGTTTGACTCACCATCATCAGAGTCTAATGACATGTCCTCCTCTTCCACACACTCATCGTTTACTACTGGGAGAGCAGGAGAGGGCAGAGAAAGAGAAATGGAAAAGGAAGATATTATCAAGGAATGCGTTATAGATGCATTACCAGCACAAAGTGTGTTTTAAAAAGCGCTGCTGGACAGTACAATCATATTTTCACAGGCGAGATAAATGAACAGAACAAAAGGCAATTTGGCAAAGCAATTACACTGCAGCAAAACGACAGGAAATCTCCAGGGTTTTTGTGTGTATGCCTGATGACGACGTTACCCACCTGTGGAGGGCGGTGTCGGGAGCTCATTCTGATTGATGGAGCCAATGAGACTGTGGAAACCGCTCATAACATCATCAATGCTCCCTATCACAATCCCATTTCTGGAGTACTGCAGGAACATCTCAAATGGCCTCTCTGTCGAAACACAAAATGCAATAATTCAGTCAGCAATTTAAAATGAATCAAAGACAGCGATACAGATATTTAATACTTTTACACCATCTACATTTTCCTCTATATCATTTGGAATAGAGATGTCTTGAAAACCGATACTGCGGTGCTAAGTTGATGCCAAAATCTGAAAATGTGCAGGAGACCTAGTTAATGTTAGCTGTTAACAACTGGTAAAGATATGTTTTACAGAGTTGCACTATGGTGCATTCAGGCTGTATTCAGTTCAAAGGTAGTTATACGTCTGTCTTGTCAAACATGGTTTTTGGAAAGAAAATTTTCTTTTTTCTTTTTAACTGAATTTCTGGTAAAGCAACATCCCTAATCAAGAAGTCAAACATTTCTAATTAACAAAAAAAACATACATTGTAGTTTTATGCTACTTTTAGAAGACTGATGAATGTGACTTTAGTTGATAATGATGAAGCTGATGATACCTGTGAGGAAGATAAGGTGCCGTTGCTGTGTGTGCTGAGCTTGGAGCTTGATCAGGCATTCCAGGTCTGGAGCCTGACGTGACTGGGTGTCACACTCGTGATACGGGAGGAACTCCACCAGGTGCTTCTTCTGATACACGGTGAGGAGGTTCAGCAGCCCCATGGCGTTGGCGTTTAACCTTTAAGAGAACATCAACAATAGTATTTGATTTGAATTACAGCTGCAACGATTAGGTGACTGACATACGTCTGTCAAAAGAAACATTTTCTCCATCTATTAGTAATAATGCATTTTAGGTAGTCACCTCGCCAGTTCTTTAAGCTTCTTCTGGGACTTGCAGTGCACCTTCCACTGCCAGGGGTGTTCAGGGGTGCTCCGGTCTTCCAAGAACTTCAGCAGCCCCTGCAAACGATCTGGAAAAAACAAGCCATATAAGCTTTCAAGTTAACATTTACCCCTTTCTTTATTGCCATTCCAACGCTTAAGAAATTAAACCTATAACATATACTCTCAGGACTGGCTTACACTTTAAGTTCCTGCAGTAAAACCTAATCTTAGAGACACAGCCTTCGGATATTTTCCCCTATTGGATGGAAGAATTTGCAGAGAAGGCTAAAACTTGACACACTGATATTGATAGGGTGATTCAAAATGTGTGTTCTATTGGCTTTAGGTGTGCTGGTTTTACATGATATACTTGTCGTTTTATCTTTTTTATACCTACGCCAAGGATATTTCAGAAAACATTTATATTTCATCCAAACATTTCCATGAAGTCGCACACTTCCCACACAGAAAAGTCAAACTTACCCTGCGTGATAAGGTCAGGGTTGAGGACGAACTCATCAGACACCATGAAGCCTCCGGTCACAAACAGCTCGTTATAAGTGTGGTTCTTGACATCGTCCAGAGTGTCGACTCCAGCGAAGCTCACTGAGGGCAACTTCTTCAAAGACACCAGTGCTGGGATCTGCAGAATGAAAAGGTGAACTTAAAGTTATTTTATTACATTTGAATTGAATGTATGTATATCTAAGGCGCCGTTTACACGAGGAGAAAACTGCTTGTATCTGCATAGTTTCGCGTGCGTATAGCCCTATTATTTACACGAGGCCGATAGAAACTGACCCCACAAACGATAACGGGTCCCAAGGTGGATAGATTTGCAAACGAAACGCTCTGGGGGGTCAACCGAGTCCGTGTAATCACCTCTATACGAATATTTCCTGAAAAAATAGCGATAGCCCCGCCTCTCCTGCTCACTGCTGTAGCAACTATCAAAAATAGCTGTGTTAATTAAACGCACAAGGGGTTCTTGAATGAAATAATATTATAAAAGGCAAACCAGAATTGTTAACGCCCAATATACTCCTTAAACAAAATAAACAGAGTCAGATTTCATGCATTGATCCATTATATTGACAAAGGTGCGATCTCACCCGGTGTTTGTAGAGAATATCTCTCTTTCTGAGCCGTCCTCTCCACGGAGACGTGCTTCTTGGTCGGTCGATGCAATATCCACAGATTCGGTTTCTTTCAGTTAACTTCCCGTTGCATTTATCCATATGCTGAGGAAATTACTATATCCCGCTGAATACCAGCAATCGCCACACACACTTCCTCCTGTCAGTAGCTACTGCTAGTGCTACTGCTACTGACCATGCTACAGATATTAGTGCAAAATCTACAGCTCCTCTACCACAACCATCAGCAACAAGTGGACATGGAGAATTACATGAACTACATGTTGCTAAATACACCGCGGGGCTTAAACAGAAGGGTAGCCATGGCAACATTGTGGCGGGGCTGCTCGGGCTGCTCTTCTTCGCGGCTTTTGGTGTATTTTGGCGGAAGTTACAGCGCCACTTACAGTCCCGGCATATGTACTACAGCGTTTCCAGCGGCCTCGTTTGAACAGACACGTTAAATGAAACGAATGCATGTGAACGGAATACTTTTTTGAATACGCATACTGTGCATAAACGCAAACGGTCCCGTGTGAGCGGGGCCTAAATACATACATGTGCATATTGTCTTCAAAGTGTGTGCATAGAACCCTATAGAATAATTAAAGTCAGCAGCCAGATAAGAAAACGATACTCTGCAGCAGATGTTGAATTCAATTAGGATGCTAATATTAAAGTTTGATCACTGTGTGGATCAGCTGGGGCCATGACACTGGGGCTGAGATGAGGATGGTGACAGGAGGTGATCGTACCTTGTGCACGTGTGCAGCGATGTCCTCGTTCTGAATGATGATGAGGAGCTTATCTAAGCTGCTGCTGTTCTCCAGAAACGTCTGCGGGCTGCACTCGCTGTTGCCAAGACTCTTCAAGTAGTCCTTTGTGACAGACAGGAGAGACGTAATTGTTAAAGACAGACAGATGAACAAGTCCTTCTCTCTTTCACCTCACATACCGACTGTCTGCCAGATACAGGATGAGCTCAGGGACACGGAACACATAGTGGCAAAGAGGAACGAGTGTAACCTTTCACATTCCTGCTGTCGGTCTGCAGCTGCACTTGTGTGTGCCTACACAGTGTATTACTGCTAAGAGCTGCGGCAACTCCAATAACAAAAAACTATCTCAATCTGTTCAACAGATAAGGAAAGTGAAAGAGAACAGATGTTCAACTTTATAAATTCATAACACTTAAATAAGCCTTACAAAATAAAATTGAAATATTCCCGGAAGGTTTTGAGACAGTTATTTTGATTATACAGGTACAATTGTGGCAGTGTGTCAAATAAATCAAAAGCACCGGCTTTTTAAATGTGAGGAATGTTTTTGAGTTGTACTTATAAACTCATAAATATTTGGGTTTTGAATTATTATTAAACACCATTGTGAAAGGTTCTAGGAACTCTGTGAGAGGGAATTTTCCACTATTTTCTGACATTTATTGACAAACATTTAAAAGCACAAAACAATCCCAAAGATTATAAATGACCATGAACAGTTCTCTTCTTTCAAAACCACATTGAGCTCTTGTTTTGTACCTTGATTTCCTTGCAGACGGAACTCTCGTCCCCCTCGTCCCCGGAGTAGATGTAGAATTTGACCGTATTCTTGGTGAAGTCCTTAAACATCTCCACCAGGCTGCTGAACACCTCAGGAGCCAGCAGGCCCGGCCCACTCCCAGAAGGAGGGACCTTTTTATGGGTCTTCAGCTCTGGAGAGTCTGGTGTGACCTGAGAGGGAGAATAGAGCTCTCCCTTAACCTCTCCCGACGAGCCTTCTGATTTAGACTTAGTGGATCCTTTGACAGTGCCCGTTTTACCACCGTGAGAGGAGGGGTCTGCTTTACTTTTAGGAGTCTGTACGGGGGTGGGGGGTGGTGTGGTAAGATTAGATGTTGTGACTGCGGGAGGTGGAGAAGTGACCTTGGGGGGAGCAGGTGGGCTGGGGATCAGCTTGTCCATCTTCTCACACAGTGCTTTGACCTCCCCTTGAGTGGGGACGGGCGAGACGTAGGGTCTCACAAAGTCGGAGAAGCAGCTGTTGGGCAGCCAGCTGTGGCGAGGGAGCAACCTCGGGGAGAGCCGCGAAGAATAGCAAATGTGCTGAGTCTGCATGATGTTTTTGATGTTAGAGGTGAGGCTGTGAATCTCCTGGTTGAGTATGGTGTCCAGGCTGATGGAGGGCCTGAAGGGAACTTCCTCTACGACTGGTACCGTGGGAGGTGCGGCCGCCTTTTTTACTTCCACCGCTGCGGGGGTCTTGGGCTCTGGGTAGCTGTCTGCCACTGTCACGGATACTGGCTCAGGCTTAGGCGCGGGCTTTGGCTCAGGAAAAGGCCGTGCTTTGTCTGTAAGGAGAGAAGACAGTAAACGTGTCACAGTGATGAATCAGATCTAAATATGTCCACAAAGGCCTGTGTAAAGTGACAGCTCTGAGGTACCTTCATTAGCGGGGGGAACCCATGTTGGGTTGGCTGAGGTGTGAGCTTGCTCTGTTGGGGATCCGAGGCCGAGTGGACTACCAGGGCTACAGTCCATGTCCTCCTAAAAAAAAAAGAAGTTTTTAGGCTCCGAAAAAGGTTGATTTCATGGTGGAATTATTCTGTAATAAAACAGCTGTTCATATTTCACCTCTGTGTAGTTCGTCTGAGGTACAGGCTCATTTAGTTTGGTGAGGTCCGGCTCAGGGAAGGCAGGCTCCGCCCTCCCTGAACCCGTCGATGGTTCCCCGGGGTTTGGCGGCACCGCCATCGCACCCTGAGCCACGGCTTTGTTGAGAGTGGCCAGGAGGATCTTGAGCAGGCGCTGAGTGTCGTTGACTGCCGTGGGGTTTGCGTTGCCATGGGCCCTCAGGTCCGTGTCATAGATGCCCATGCTCTCCATCACTGCTGTCAGATTTTCGCTCTGCCCGCCCTCATCAACGATCTCATCTGCTGTGGCTCCTAGCAGGGTGCACACAATTAGTTAGAGACATTTGCAATATTAGTGTGTAAGAATGTATTGTAGACTTTCATAATTAAAGCTGTTCTGTGCATATTACAGAATACTTGAAGAAAGATATGCATTATTATAAAATGTTTAAAAGTTACTCGGTGTAGAGTGAAACTACCTAAATTCAGGAAGCTTTTCAGGTTCTGATGAACTTGACTCTACAATTGTGGCAGCAGTTGATGAACTGGCACACCAGTATATTAACAGATACCTGGATGAGCCCCGAACATGCTTGACATTTAAAAATGTAAGCAATCATAAAGTAATTTAATTTGTAATCCTATACACTGGCTCCATGTCGATATGGTGCCGATGGGGAGCAATGTTTTTTTTTAGTTTACAATGCAATTACTCAGAACTCATCAGACAGTGTTGTGAAACTAATATAATATTCATTATTTCTAAAGGAATGAACGTTTGAGGCAGTAGGTGGAAATTATCGGGAAAATTAAATTACACAATTTAAATAAAGCCAGAGAGAGAGCTGCAGGCGTCCGTCCTCACCTCTGCTTGGTTCCCCATTGCTATGCGGATCTGTGCGTTGGTGTTTGTTCATGCCCCCCCTCTCCTCTCCCTCAAACTTCCTCTTTAGACTGTTGGCGTCCCAGGCTGCGTCCTCTCCCTGTTCCTTCCCCGGTTCCTTCACAAGTGCCTTCTTATGAAGCTGGATCAGCTTGAGCAACTGTTTCATCTTGTCCTTTTCGTACTCATTGTGGGAAAGCTTCAACTTCTGAGGGGCCTGAGCCGGGGTCTCAATGTTCGTCTTGGGCTGCGGCTGAGCCCCGTTAGAATGGGCCAACCCCTGTCTCCGCTTGCTGCTGTCCGGGGGGGGCTTCTCGTGTGCTGGCCTCTCTGGAGGAGGCCTCTCCGTGGGCAGCCTCTCTGCAGGTCTCTCTGCGGGTTTCTCTGCGGGTCTCTCTGCGGGTCTCTCTGCGAGTCTCTCTGCGGGTCTCTCTGCGGGTCTCTCTGCGGGTCTCTCTGCGGGTTTCTCTGCGGGTTTCTCTGCGGGTCTCTCTGCGGGTCTCTCTGCGGGTCTCTCTGCCCGGTCTGAGCCCCTGTCCGAGCCGCCCCAGTCGGAAACGGGGCTGTATTCCACCGGGGCCGGGGCAGGTGTGGGGATGGGGATGGGTGTTGGGTGCTGTATCCTTTCACGGATGTCCTTCATTTTGTTCAGAGGTAAAATAGAGTTTGCAGGGTTTTTGACGTAAGAATGCAGCACGGCTTCCATGTTAAATTTGGGTCTGGGCACTTGGAGCGGGTTGGTCCTTTCGTCCACGTTTTGTTTGTATTCGGGCGGAATGAAGGGCCGCACCGTGCCTGATTCCATACGAGTTAGGTAGTCTGTGGCCTGGCGCTCCACCCCAGAGCTCAGGTCTTTGCCAGGGTTGGGCCGCAGCTTGAACATTGCGTAGTGCAGAGCGGGGACGAAAGGTTCCATCGAGGACACGGTAGCAGGCTTGGGCTCCGGCGTCTCCGGCTCGAACAGTCTGGATGCTACAATGGAGTACACATAAGTTAGTGTCATGTAAAATAATTTATCTGCACTATTAAATGTGTAAGAGACAGGAGCTTCATTACAGGAGTTGGGGTTGTCACATGGGAACATCACAACTCGTTTTTTATGTAATTTTGTCATTCAGTAAATATATGCGTTTGTCTTATCCAAATATTCTCTATTTGCCATTAAAACATTGAAGTGGGGAGCTTTATGCAGATTCGGCCACTGCTGGTTAGGGTTAGAATAGGAATGGATGGTGTGAACAATACTTACAATACTTGACAACCATCCTTGACTCCTGAAAGATGAATAATGCTTGCAGGTTCTTCTCAACGCGCCCCCGCCGCTCTGCAAAACAAACAGCAACTTGTTTCAAAGCTGAACCCTCACCGAAGGAATCAAGTAGGTGTTTTACTGACAGAGAAAATTATGAGAGGAGAGTAAAAGCTTTTTGGCACCTTTGGACTCCACCATCTGCGATGAGGACAACAGGAACAGAAAGCCCCTGTCAAACAAGGACTTCACCAGCACCTGAATAAGGAGAGGCAACACTGCAGTCAGAAGCACCGGGGTGTATCATTATCAGATAATGTGAGCTATCATAATACCAGTTTGGTGCTTGACAGGTTTTATTTGTCTAGTGTGCACTACAAACTGACGAGATAAAGTAAAAGAAAAACAGAATAGATGTTTTTACCTGGATAATTGTCTTGTTTATTGGGGAAAATAACTGTTTATTGAACAAAATCTACTTTTATTACATTGAATGATTATGTTCAATGCAACAGTGTGTACAAATTGTTGATTCCTTTATTTCTGTGTGCTTTATCAGATTGTGAAATAAGGAGGATTCGAAGGAAAATACTTTGGTTGAATCTGGACATCCTGATTGTTTGAATTCAATTTGGCCATCTCACCATCCTGTCCCTCTCCAGTTTGTGGACCAGCGCTGCCAAGCTGCCATTGGTTGGTTTTCCTTTTCCGTCAGTCACATCGAACAGGCTGCAGGACATCCCACACCTCATCACTGCGGACCAAGAAAAGCAACTTCAAATAAACAGCAGACCCATAACTCATCTAAAGAAGTTGTTTTCTGCAGGCTCAGTCAATCATATACATTGATTAAGTTAAGTAGCTGTTTCTGTAACACAAAATGCAGCGTATGCATTTAGAATAGCTTAATGAATTGAAATTCAAGTAATGCATTGCATCCTGCATCACCAGGGCATTGTCCTAGCATTTAATTATGAGATATTCACATGTGCAGTTCGGACTGACCTTCCCGTGATGCGCTGTAAGTGTCCCAAGAAAAAAGCACAGAGGGGATCTTTCGCTTCACCTGCTCCAGCTGCATACCTCGACTCAGCGACAGCTTCTCAGGCCTTCAGGGGAGAAAACAGATTGAAAATAGCAAATCATAACAAAATCCACACAAAAACGGTCTTTTCATTGCACACATTCATTTTAACCTCCTCTTTGCAGTGTTAAATGTAAGCACATAGAGGGTTTTTATGCAAAAAGGGGTCTTTAATAATGAACAGTGGAAATTCTAATAGCACTGTGAAGGTAATTTAGAGATACACAGAATGATGTTAGAGACTAAAGGTTGACTCACAGTTTGTAAGGGAGGTAGGAGCGCGAGGAGGATCGTAAACAGATTGGGAATAACTCCTGGCCCTTGTTCACCAGTACACCACTCCACACAGTGTAGCAGCTTTTCCCTGCAACAGCAAAGGTCAGAGGTCAGACAAGATACAGAGAGAAAGGAACGCTCAAAACTGCTGGAATATCCCTGAAATCCCCGCTCTTTTTTTTACAGAATCTCTTCTCCAGAAAGTTTTACTCTAGTCGTTGAATTGAATTTGGACCATTTTCAGGGTGCGTCACACGTATAGGCTTTTTAGTTGTATTCAATATTTATCAAATAAGTACGATTTAAAATAGTTTTACCTCGCCTTCCTTCAGGTGCAATGGTGTTGAACCTGTTAAAAGAAATGAAAAAACAGGCTCATTACAAACACACAATGAAAACCTCCCCAGTTGCCGGGAGATACTGCAAGGTTTCATCACTTCCTGCAGGAATACGCACCTGTGTGAAGTCATAGGAGTTGCTGCAGCCTCCTTGCCTTTGTACTGAAAGGAAACCACAGCGTAGGGGCACACGTGCCGGGGCCGTGCCTTGATCTCATCGAATGCAAACTCAAAAAAATATTGCTAAAAGACAACAAGAAATATGTGTTATTAACTAATTCTGTTCATGACAACTTAACGTAACTTAATTTGAAAATACAAAACATAAAGTAAGTGAAATAACAAAGAACTCTCGCTTACCTGTGTGAGCTCAAAAGCCCTGTAAGACAGCAAAGACGTAACCCTATTGGCACTTTTGGACAAGTGAGAGTCAAACTTCTGATTCGGTTCCATAGCGTTCTTAGGCATGTTCTCATGGATGTGCTTTATTCGGCCCTGAGAGACAAAACAGACTGGTGAGCTTAAGATCCCACGGGAATAAGAAATCTGTCAACAGCACAAAATGAAAATAGAGTGGTAGACATACCCTCATAACTTTGAAAATGATTATGTCTCCAGACGAACCCACTTCGAAGGGATTGATTTGTAACAGATCAGAATATTTTGAGACATAAACACCTACAATGACAGAATAACTGGATTAGAGGAACAGTATCATAAGCACACTCCATCAGTAGTGCATTAAAAGTATCATTTTTTACACTCAAACCATAATAATCACGTCAATTACATGGTGATACTTTGAGAGAAGGACAAAACATTCGTTCTTTGAGTTGGTAGTCAGCGATGAACCAACATTAAAGTGATATATTTTTTATATTTAAGAGCCATTCCCAGCTGTTGATATAGCACGTAAGGTTGTAAGTTAATCAGGTCACAATAAACAAAGATCCTTAGCTGCTTATCAATCGGCTAACAAATTAAATATATTGAAATAGGAAACAAATACCGCTGTCAATGCTAAAACAATAACATGACATAAAGAACATCTAATCAAAAACAATACTGTCTCCTTTTGAGGAAACAACATGCCAGAGATTAACTCACCCGTTGAATTGTTTCCTAGTGTAGTAATCCTGGAGTGTCCCACCGACAGACCCTTCTCACAGATCCACTGGAGCTACACAAACAAGACAACAAGAAGAGCTCAGAATCATGCACAATGAGAAAACATCATTATTTTAAACCATCATCACCACGTCCATTATTATTACCTTGGATTTGTCTGGGAAAAGAAAGCAGTATGACTCGGTCAGCTCTGGTTCCGTCCGCCCCTCCTGCTTCATCTCTCTCCGCTTCTCGATGAACTGGCACAAAACATGGAGCAGACAGCCAATGAAATACAGCAGAGCTTAACATGCATGACTGGTAGAATGGTAGAATGTGTAACTGTGTAGAGATCACAGGCGGGCCTCAGCATGATCTCTATCCTGCCATGTGAGCCACAAGAACAGTCGTTTTACCAACTAAGCCGTAAAGACTACTATTTATCTATCTTACGTGACATTTGGTTTCAACCTACAAAAAGGTTCCATCAGAGCAACTAAAAGTCTGTCGAGACATTTTGCGGCACAGGAAGACTTTGACCTACCTCCTTCTCCAGCAGCTCATTGTGAATGAGCCTTGCCTTGCAGTAGGAGAAGGTTCCTCGTGATGAGGAATCGAGGTAAAACGAGGAGAAGATCTTCACAAGGTCTTCAAACTCCCGGCTGTCAGGGGGCAGGAACTGGTACAAGCCTGCACACAGAGAGGAGATCAGTGCATTAGAAATGTGCAGAGTAGTAGTAAAGCATTCCAACACTTAAACTCAATCCACAGGAGACGGCAACATCAAGCTGACAATCATCCTCATGTATAGGGTGATATGGTACCAATATATCTTTCTTACATGAGAAGAGGATACATGTGACCTGTGTTAAGACTTCAGTTATTATCAGAAAGTCTCTTGGTGTACATTAAGTGAATCTCACTGGGGTTGCACTGACCCAGCTGCCTCTACTTCCCATGTGCTAAAGCCAGCTGACTAGAATAGATTACCGAGTTGTCCTTTAAGGAATAAGCTGAACACTGATCAGCAGTAAGTAGGAATCTCCTATATCAACCAACACGTGACGAAACCTAGCTTCTGTCTGTGTTTACAAAAAGGTTTATTTTATAAATCCAAAAACATATAAAGAAGAGAACAAGCACTTGCTAAATACTGGACGGAGCAGTGTCAGCCTCACTCAAGCTGTGGGGTAACAAGTGATAAATATTTCAGCTGAGGAAACACGCTGACTGACTAAAATCTGGAGATGAACACAGCCAGGTCTGTCTCACATTTAAGTTTACCAAAATAATTACATTGTTTTTGCTTTACATATGAACCTTGCTGAGTTGACCAGATACTGCAAGCGTGGCTGCTTAATAAAGGCTCTAGTCTAGCAACTTCAGCTCAACTTTGCATATACACAAACAAGTGATGTATGACAGCAAGGTTTGTAACAACCACTCTGCTACCTCCTTTTTGAGACATGATGGGGCCAGTGTCGTTGTATTGTACTGTGAGGTGAAGGTGTAAGAAGGATGCTCTGATACACAAGTGACATCAAGCTGGGACAAGGGGTGGGCAGCCCTACTTATTGGTATTGTGAAAACCTTTTATAGAAGTTGGGTGGGGTGGATTATTCATGCCCTTCACTAAGGTCAATATGACACCCACATGTTGTCAGGTGATGGCTGCAACAAACTCAGGACACCAGCAGCGAAACTCAATCAGACTATAGTCCCATGAAAAAGGTAAAGGCCAAACAAGGTGGGCTTTCAAACGGGCAGTGTGTTGCTTTCAGGAGCCTCCAAGGGACAGGTAGCCAACTGCTGTAACTTGGGTACCTGGGTTGGACCACCAAAGCTAGCTCTGCTAAAGCAACTCACGCTACATTAGTCCAGACTGTCCGATAGCTTACATACTATGTCGTTGGTTTAATCTTAACCCGTGGACATTAAGTTAAACTAGTAAAACTAGCGAGGCCATCCAGCTAGCTTGCAGGCTAGCAACATGCAGCAGCAGAATTATGAAAGACAGGACAGGCTCTGTTCAAAATAGCAGCGATATGGCACCTTTCCGTTCTCTTATCTTCCTCGGGATTTGGAAATTCTTCCGTGGCAGCTCGTCGCTCGGTCTCTGGCCTTGCAAGGCAGAACTGCCAAAGCTCCGGGCATCTGCCTGCACGCTCCTGCGCCGCTCAGGGGCTTCTTTCTCGGGCATTACACCGTCTCCACATCCAGGCTGATCGCCATTTTGGTTGGCTGTGGCCGAGGTGGCGGCTGATTTCTTCAGGGGTTCGCCTCCCTCTAGCTGCATATCGTCCGTCGCGGTACATTCTGAGTCCCTTCTCCCCACCGCGTTGGGGTTCAGGGCCATTTTCGGGCACCGTGCACGTATAACGGGCAATGTAGCTCAAACGATTACGGCGGCGCTTCACTTACACACACTCCTCCTCAACCAGCCTCCGCCATTGTGAAAATGACGTACACGTTCTTCTCCACCACTGCAAAACGCTGCCGTCACGATGTTTACAAACGCCACCCAGCGGCGGAGCGGGGTACTGCTCTATGGGTACTGCCGGACCGGTGATGGATGCAATAGTGAGTGAACATGGCGGTGAAGGATCAGATGTATGCAAATGTAAACTAATTTAGGACACATTCTATTTACAAGGCAAAATGTATAAAGACCCCACCTATGTGTCACGTGCTACTATAATGAAACTAAACATGTTGTTGAATTGAAATCTAAATGTGTAAAAGATCACTTATATTACCAAAATAATGTAATCAATGGAATATCCTTATAACTTGCAGGTCTCCCTTGAAAAAGAGATCTATGATCTCAATGGGACCAATCTGGTTAAATAAAGGTTTGAAATGAAATAATAATCAATTCACCATTATTATTCTAATTAAATTATGTTTATCTAAATGGTTTATGCTGCCAAGTACCATTTTGGTATAGGAGCTGTTGTGTATAGGATACACATTGTGTAATTGTAATGATTCCCTTACTGTTTATAAATTAATTGAGATGGTTTTAGATGACAAATACACTAGCTTTAAACGATACCCAATATATCAAATGTATATATATTGGGTATTGTTTGTGGGATTTGTTCTGTAGGTTTCATTTATAATATAAATGAAACCTACAGAACAAATCCCACAAATCCAACTTTTTGTAATACCTTATTATACCACCAGATGATGACAAAGAGGCAGAGACAGACTCAAGAATCATAAACATTTTGTAATGTTTATATTACTTTAACGCTTTTTTTTATGCATACAGGTTTAATGCTTTAATGCCATCTCACTTTTCGATTTTTTTGTACTCATAACAATAAGATCACAATTTTATAATGTAAGACTGGTTGTGAAACAAAGATACATAATTTCTCAAATTGTTTCTTTAGGTTGTGGTGATTGACATAATTCACCCACGGAACTGTGAGTTGGGGGTTTTGCTCCGCACGGACACATGTTAACTGTACTTACTGTGTGCCCTTCTTTCTTGTCTTCCCGGGCTGCGACTCGACAACATGTGCGTTTCTGCTGCTCATTAAAGCTAACTTCGTACCTTCGATGCACCGCCTCCGACTCCCTTCTCTCGGCACTACATTGGTGACCCCGACATAAGTCTCGTAGAAGTATCCAAGACTGAACCAAACATGGCAAAAAACGCAGTTTTTCTCAGACCGCACAGATTGAGGCTCATTTTGCCCTCCGCGGAATGACCGATGACGACGCACGCTATCTCCACATCGTTTCGGCACCGGGAGACAGCAAGCCTTCCGACCACATGGAGACGATGCAAGACCTGCTAGGTACGGAAGAACCCGACTTCTTGTTCATGGAACTGTTTCTTCGGGACATGCGGCCGCATGTCCGGCTAGTGTTGAGCCCCGCGCTTTAGCCGAAGAAGCTGACCGGTTCTTCCTGGCCGCCCGGCGTTTTACCCGAGGTGCTGGCCCCGACACGCGGCGGCACCTTCCCTGGTAGAGGCACGCCACCTAGCAGAGGCTCCGGGGCCGACGACAGCGACTAACGGCTTACAGCTAACAGCCGATGACAACGGCTAACGGCTTACAGCTAACGGCTAACGACGACGACTAGCAGCTAACGGCTAACGACGACGACTAGCAGCTAACGGCTAACGACGACGACTAGCAGCTAACGGCTATCGACATCCATCTGTTAACATCCATCTGTTAACCCTTTTTTTTTGTGGTGCCTGCGGCCGGGCAGCGCTCCTCCCTGCTGGGGACCACCGGGACATTCACGCCCGTCCCCACGTCGCAGCACAGCGACCCAGCTTTCTACGGTTGGCGGATGTTGCCCCCTTCCGACAGCCCGTTCAGGGTCATGCGACACGGGGACAGGTGTCCTCCGTCCTCCCATGGGCCGCCCCCCACCCTCTGGTGGGGGTGCCCTCGCCCTCGTTGGGCCCCCCCTGCCCCGGCCCCCCTGCCCTCGCCTGCGGCCCCGCCCTCCTCGGCCCCTGTGGTGCTTCCTCCCGTACGCGAGGATTGTGTCCATGGTTGAATTCTGGGGGGGCTTGTGTGGTGATTGACATAATTCACCCACGGAACTGTGGGTTGGGGGTTTTGCTCCGCACGGACACATATGTTAACTGTACTTACTGTGTGCCCTTCTTTCTTGTCTTCCCGGGCTGCGACCCGACAACATGTGCGTTTCTGCTGCCCATTAAAGCTAACTTCGTACCTTCGATGCACCGCCTCCGACTCCCTTCTCTCGGCACTACAAGGACCCATTTAACCAGGTGAGTGGTAATAAAGACAATACATCTTCACACAAGGCATCGCTTTAAAAGAAAGAATGCCAAAAACACTTACAGGTTTGTACAAATACTATTTCAATCATTAAAGTACATGAAAAACGTAAATAATGAACACTGTCTTTGTCCCTTTATTCCAGTTGTATCTGTGGCAGCTAATGCGTTTTCACTATGGGTTCACCATGCTGCCTCTGCTGTATACATCAAACTCCTTGTAGCGTATGTAGTCTTTCAGCCTGGGAGGAAGAGGAAGATAGTTGATGAAAACTGGGGATCTCAAGCGCAGGTGACTGAGATGCTCCCTTATCCGCAACCGACACAGATGCTTCAGGCTTCGTGTATTACCTGAGTGTAAATAAAGTCAGTTAAATTAATGAATGCAATATTTTTTAATTAATATCCTTCAGCTCTCACTTTGAATATGACAGATCTCCATCCACTGTTTCTGCTCCTTCAAGGTGTCCTTGAGTTGGGTGCAGAAGGGGACGTGGTTGGTGTAGTCCAGCATGATGCGCACCACCTGAGCAGATAAGTGCTTAAGCCAGGACACTGTTATCACCTCACAGAACTGGAAGGACAAACACAAAGACACACGTGGCAGTCAAAACAAAACCTTGACCTACTCCACTGATTCCCCTGCCAGTTTCTCCTTGTTCTTCAAATGTTAACAGCATTTTCTCTCACAGACTAGCTTCACCTCACCACCAGGTCTTTGATGATTGAGGTTGTCCAAGGAGCATAGTCATGGGAAGTGTCCCCATACGGACAATCAAAGCAACGCTTGACATCATATCCATGGTTCAGAATCATCCTCAGCATGACCTCGTCTTTCAAGGCGTACTGCAGAGCTGAGGGGAAGTGAGTGGTGTTGACACGAGAGTAGTAATTTACATTCGCCCCGAACTTCAGCAATTGGTTGATCATTTCATAGTGGCCCTGTCTGAGAGCCAGCTGCAAACAATTGATAGGATCCTGGTTCACCATTGCCCCGGCCTCCAACAGCAGGCGGGTGCACTGAAGATCATTGTTGGACACTGCAAAATAGAGGGCAGACCTGCGCTCATCATCATAATTGCAGCGCACACTTGTGTGAAGCATGAAGTTAGGATCGTAGTCAGCTTTGAGCAGTATCTCCACACAATGAGCATGTCCCCCAGCGGCTGCAGAGTGGAGAGGACTCATCCCGCCTTCCTTTACAGCCTCCAGCTTAGTGACTGGGATGAGACGCTCCAGTGCCCTGTTGGTGAATAATCCTAATGTCAGAACATGACAAGGGTTCAACCTCTATTTTAAAAGTAGGAAAGTTAGATGTAACATATTCCTCACAGTATGTGTCCATGGTAGGCCACACGGTGAATTGGCAGATGGCCACTGGAAAGAGGTTGGTTGGGATCTGCTCCATGGTCCAGCAGCAAGGAGATAATGTCAGGGTTTCCTGATGCCGCTGCATCAAACAAGACAGGGCCTGACTCTGATTCGCAACACACATTGGCTCCTACAAAATAGATAGAGATGCTGTTAGAATTGACATTTAACAGCCATTTTCAGACCTGGGAAATATATGTTATTAATCTAAGAGGGTCATACGCACAGTAATGTAATGTAGTAACTTTGGCCAGGATTGTCTCACCAAAATCATTCGTGTGAGTTACTCCCCTCTAGTTTACGAAAACAAAAGCGCTTTACTCTGAGCTTATCAGGTGAAATATTAAGCCCAAAGTGGAAGTTAAATCACTTTAACTATACCTTTTTGTAACAGGGCTTCCACCACATTCAGATGTCCATTTTGCGCAGCCAGAGCCAGAGGAGTTTTCTTTTTGATGTCACGTGCATTTGGGTCGGCACCAGATTCTAGGAGCAAATGGACAAAGTTCTCCAGACCTAAAAAGGCTGACTCGTGTAGAGCTGTCCTGCTTAGAGGTCCTGTTTGGTCCACGTTGGCTCTGTAGCGAAGCAACAGTGTGGCCAAGTCGTACTGGTCATTCAGAATAGCTAAGAGGCAAAGAAGGTAGATATACAAATGAGCAAATATCTTTGGGTGGGTGCAAAATGAGATAAACTTTGCATTCAGATGTCAGATACCTGCCACTAATGGAGAGTCTTGCTCATCATTCTGGAGATCTGGGCTACTGGCGTTCTGTAACAGGAATGTAGCGTTGTCTCTGACTCCATGAACCACAGCCAGAAACAGTGGTGTCTCACCCTTCAGAGTACGACACTGTGCTGCACCTGGAGGTGATGCTGGAACATAAAACAACTAATAAACGTGCCTGAATAAAAAATCCAAAAGAGTATTACTTTTAGGAACCTACCTGAGAAGATAATCTCTAGTATCTTTTTATTCTCTTGCGCCGAAGCCTCATGCAGCGGGATCCATCCTCGTTCATCAACTCTTGACAGAGCCTCTGGTTGACCTGCCAGTCTGTTAAGGGCATCTTCATCACCTAAACATGAGTACCTTTTTTCAGAACTATGGCAAGATCTAATGAAAATCAGTTTGGACAGGTTTAAGAATTACATCAGCTCACCCTCCTTGATTGCTTTGAAAATCTCATCAGGGTCTTTACTGGGTTTCAGATCACTGTTGAGAGAAATGTAAATGATGAAGAGATACTGTATAGAGAAATAGGGTTATTTAGGTGGTCGGAGATCAACCTTGGATTCAATCCTTTGAGTTTTCTATATTCAATCAGGCTTTGTTCAATTATATATTGCGTCGCCTCATCCTCATCCAAGTCGTCCTCCGATTGATAAAAGTCATCTTCTGTCTCTTTGTTCATCTGTAGGTCCAGAAAGGGTCAACGCACAAGGAACTGCCCTGGGGAGACAGCCATAAGGGAGACAATACTTTTAAATATGGCACCCGAAATCTCGAACACCGCCTGCAGCCCTGAATACTGACAGGGAAAAGTTCACAAAAGCCCAGTGCAGTTAATCACAGGAGTTGCTGACATACTTATTCCTGTCGTTGAATTAGATGTCAAAATGAGCTGACTGATACCAAAACAAAGATTTGGATTATAATAATTCCATGTACAGTCCTTTTTTGTCCTAGATTTTTGCATAGCAGCACTAACTTAACAGGCCATGTGAGATCAGATAATTTACAGAATACACCTCTCATGGTGATTGAATTAAATGAATGGAGATTCAAACTGCATGAATGATTGCAGTGAGCATGTACTTAATATTCAATTATCAAAGGAGATGTAACAAGAAATACTTCAACAAAACATATTTTTACAAAATCCCAAATGCTATCAAGTTACCTGACACATTCAACAACATAACATGGAAGATCGATAGCCACATTTAAACAGGTTGCATACACAGCACACTCCACACTTATCACCCTAATTTTTCACTATATGCATTATTTATTTATTATCTGGTGTTTACCTTCAGTCAGATGACTGTGTGCCTTCGTTGGCTTTCAAAACAGTATTGCCAGCAGGCTCCTCAGCACACACACATGCTGCAGCTATTTATACATGTCCCACTATAAATATCAGATCACGGGGTCTTCACAGCCAGCACCTAGCTTTGACCCACTGAGCCCTGCAACAACTGCCACCATGCAGCTCATGCATGTGCGCTCATAACAACATTATTGACATAATAAAAAAATAAAGAGTAGGCTATTATTTACATATGCATGAATTAGTGTAAGTATATGTTTTCACTGTTTATTTTGTGATAATTCATAGCTAAAGGTTATGTCGTTGCTGTACTGTTTTGTGCTGGAACTCATGAACGCCTGTATAACAACGAGAGTGCAGCAGAGAGTCTAGACATGAAGTATGACCATATCAGCTCCCAATGAGGAACTGTCAAGTTTCTTCTGTTTTTGTGCAGATTCCCCACTTGAAAGGGACTTGAGGCTCACTTTGAGAACAGGATTCCACTCCAATGACACAGCTTTTCTTTTCAGACTTTTTATTTAGCAGTTCACTTAAAATGTCTTTGCTGACTGGGTCACTTTATGCAGGTGAAAAACCTTTGAAAACAAGATGCATGCATTTTAGAACTTTGCAAGTTATCAAAATAAATAAAGCATGTAAACATGTAAATACAGCATGTAAACAATACATTTGTTTGGCAACTGCTGCCTTAATTATGAATATGTACACATATAGAGCAGACTAAACACAGAAATATCCATTTTAAACATAAAAACGTTTCTTTAAACCCAAGCTCTTTTAAAATCTCAGCAGATTTAATTAACTGGACTTAACTAGAAATGTTCTTAAATCAAAGTAATTATTTTTAAACAAGAAAAGATTCTTTCCTCCTTTAACAGAGGTATTCACTGAATTAAACAAGACTTCACTATCAATACTTCTAATAAATCAAATTAATTCTTTATAACAAGAAATATTATTTTCTCCCCTTTTAGCAGGAATCTTCAGTGGATTAAATTAACAGGATTGTATTAGAAAAGTGTTTAGTAAATCAAAATTAATACTTTTTAAGAATAAATATTTTCCTTATTTTACCAATCCTTCCGACGATAAATAACAGAGCGTCTAAGCTCAGAATGTTCCGCACAATTAGCGCACCACATCTAAACAATGCTGCGCAGAGTTCTAACAGGACACGTGGGACACACGCAAACAATCTAACAGAACATAAACATTAGCGGCTCTGCGTTGCTCTCACACAACATTATGGATCTGATCAGGGACGTGCACAGACATTTGGAGGGGCTATTGCTCTAAACTGGAAAAAGGGCATCCTCCCCGAAAAAAAATATAAGACCAAAACAATTACATTAACTAATTTGAACAGTAATTCACTTCATCATCTCATAACAAAATAAGCTAAGGCAACTACTTGCATTCGGTGACTTGATTTTTAAAATGACCTTAAATAAACTCACTAATTAATGAAACCAGTTCAATACGCATTATTCTTATTCTTATCATTATTTATGAGCGCAGTAACGGTAAGGTATCTTACTTATTTAGTATTCCATAACTTAATAACAGAGATGGTCAAATTAAAGTATAGAGACATGGCAGAAATCCTACAATGAAGCGGGACAGTGAAGTGTTCTGTGAGAGAGGGCGATCAAGAAAAGAGAGCGAGTGGCCCCGTCGAGGGAGTTTACCATGGATGTTTTTTTTATTTTTTCAGATTTTGCATTTTATTACATCACAGTACAAACAACAGACATACAGTACACTTCCCCCACCCCCAACAGAGAGGGCGATACAAACAATAGCACAAAAAAACACAATAAAATGTTCACTAGTGCATGGTAATAACATCAGTAACAACTGTAATACTTATGTATACATTCAAGAAATCTGTCGACGCATAAGGCATAGAGATTTGTTCAGGTTATAATGTCCTTCATTTATTAGCAGTCACAAGACTAAATAAATAAGAGTTATGAGGATTCAATCAGATCAGGGTCTAGGGATAGAGATATAAGAGGACAAAAATGAATGAATCAAATCAATACAGTAAATGGACAAGATAAAAATAATGAGATAGAATTGCAAAAAATGTGCAAATTGCCTGGACCACATCATGACCTCCTATACAGGGCAATGTATTGTTTATGTCAGTATTGAGTTATAGTTCCTCATCTGAGGGGAGCTTTTGTAGAGCATTAAAGAAAAAGATATGAACGGTTGCCACTTTGAGACAAATTTTTCATTGGAGCCCCTTAAAAAAGGGGACCTATCATGCAAAATGCACTTTTGTACGTCTTTTATACATGAATATGTGTCCCCGGTGTTCCAGGGAACTCACCAAGTGTCAGAAAACACAACCCTCTCTATTTTCCTCCATACCCAAATCTCTAAAAAAGGGGCTGCAACGGATCTGATACAGATTTGAACACTTCTATGACGTCACAGAAGTGGCGCTACGGCTATTGGGCCAACTCTCCACCTATCAGGGGAATGTGGGGTTGGGCCATGGCCGCTCGAAAGCGCTGGAGACGCTGTAGTACATATGCCAGGCCTGTAAGTGGCGCTGTAGTCTGCCACAAAAGCAGCGAAGAAGACTTGCCGCCCATAGTTACCCTTCTATTTATTCTCCCTCCCCGAGGCAAGCGTTTGCTCCCGCTGCTTTAATTCAATGCAATCCCTCCCCGTCGAGGCAAGCACTGTAATTCACTGTTGGATTTAATCAGCTCGCTTAGCACTGCCAGAAGCCCAGCCTGAAAGGTATTTTGTTGCTCCACCTGGCGCACCGACAGCTCCACCTGGCGTGCCGCCGAGTCAGCATGGCGCGGCATCACCATGAGCAGCTGGTCGTCTGATTCCTGGGCCATGTGTGAATGCAGCAGCCGTTCGTCGTGCATCTCCTTGGCACGCAGGTCCTCATTCTCCTTGCTGACCATGGAACAGCGGTCCATCGCCATGATGGTGTCAAGGAAGCTGTCATTCCGTGCCCGCTTTCCTAAGGAGAAATAAGCAAGATACAAGATCAGTTTAATCGCCTAGTAGGTTGTCAACAGAGACAACATTGGACATGGTGCAGGCAGGGACAGTGTACAAAATGCAGGTGTAAAGTAGAAGATAAGAGGCTCAAATAATATCAAATACAAAATAAATATCAAAGTGCCCTTATTTATTGTTTTGTGCTTAATGTATGCTTGAACTTTGTTTTATAGGGATTAGTGGACATCAGATGCGTAACCTTCTTTCAAGGCCAGAGTAGTTACAGTGTAAGTGGATTGACATCTAACATAACATGGCTGAGTACAATTATAACAATCAATAAAAAAAAAAAGGAAAAATAAATTGAATTTCAATTACATTTCTACTTAAATGTGCAAACATATTAGAACATCAGTCTTTGTGGCATACAGGTAATCAACTGTTTAAGCTTTTACCATTAACATGTAGAATGAATGTTGCAAATGACACATGAAATTATAGCAACTACAATGTATTGTTAGAGGTAGCATTATGTCCAGCTAGCATGCCAACGTTATATCATTTTATCCCGGAGGGGAAAGCTAACTAGTTTCCAATCCAGAGAGAAACACCTCGCCTGAAACACACGATTAGTGCCATGAGTTAGTGAAGAAAATTACAGAACATTGCACATTTATTCACAAGTCAAAACATTTTCATAGCGGGCGCGGCTGAGAATAGCTAGCTAGCTAGATGTTGTTAGCCAGCTTGGAGCTATGATAGCCAGTTCAGCTAGCATGGCTAGCTCGATCTACTGAGCAAACAAAAGTACATCCGAGACCAGTATTGTGCAGATTAAAACAGTGCAGTGCATGTAGTTTATTTTACCTTTGTCGTCGTCCCGGCATGACTTTGCGCTGTGGACGGTTCCCAGGTCGGCTAACTTTGAACAACACTCCTACATTTTGCAGTAGAAGCTTCTGGATCGCGTCCTCAGAGTAAATCGCCAGAAGCGCCGACACATCCTCATCACTCCGAGGATTTATTTAGTGTTGCTATAATAACTGCTTTCACAAAAGTAATCTCTTCGTTGGTGGCTGCGGCGCTGAGCTTTTAATGAGCAAATACAATGGCGGCCTTCAAAAAAAATTCAGAGACTCACGGGCCGTGGTTTGCATTCCGCACAGCCAATCACGCGTATGAACTTTTTTCTCCCACGAAAACAGCGTAAAAATGGTTCTGATGAACTAATTTAGTTCCTGGGGCTTTTTGGTGTGAACGCAAATATATTGTAGTTCTGATGAACTATTGTGGGAAAAGTACTCCGGTGTGAACACACTAAATGCGCGAAAAATAATGATGTACATGAGAGAAAAAGGAGTAATCACGAGACTGAGGATTATTATATCTCCAGGGGTCGGCAAGGCCATTCAGAGACATAAAGTCAGAAAATGACCTTGCCATAGTGGACGGAGAAGAGCGGTCCAAGGATGGGTCAATAGCACAGTTTAAGTCCCCTCCCAGTATTAAAAAGGTGGGTGTTAAGACATGGGATTTTGCTCAGCAAGCTGTTAGAGAACGCAGCATTATCAAAATTGGGAGCATATACATTCACCAATACAACAGGAGTTTGCCAAACCATACCAGTAATAATGAAATATCTCCCATTTCTGTCAGAAATAATGTTAGTGGTGGAAGAATGTATCCTCTTATTTATGAGGATTGCAACACCTCTGGCTTTGGAGTCAAAATCTGAGTGGAAAACCACTATCACACCATTATCCGCCATCTATCCCATACAAACTGGAAAGTGCAGTGGCCCAGGCAATTGCAAAGTGGAGAGAAACAAAACAAAAAAAATATATATATACAAACATACCCTCAGACAACAATACAACAACTCACCCAAGTCCCGTGCCCAGGTCCCCATCCCCAAACGATGGAGACGGCAGGCAAGAAAACCTTGCGGTTCCCGGTGCGGAGGTGAAAAGCTCCTATATCTATAATACATAACTGGTAGCTCTGCAGCTTGTTTACATAATCT